GAGTAGAGTAGAGTAGAGTAGAGTAGAGTAGAGTAGAGTAGAGTAGAATAGAATAGAACAGAATGAATAGAATAGAATAGAATAGAATAGAATTAGAATAAGAATAAGAATAGAGTAGAGTAGAATAGAATGAGTAGAATAGAACAGAATGAATAGAATAGAATAGAATAGAATAGAATAGAATAAGAATAAGAATAGAGTAGAGTAGAGTAGAATAGAATGAATAGAATAGAATAGAATAGAATAGAATAGAATAGAACAGAACAGAACAGAACAGAACAGAATAGAATAGAACAGAACAGAATAGAATAGAAAATAGAATAGAATAGAATATAGAATAGAATATAGAATAGAATATAGAATAGAATAGAATAGAAAATAGAATAGAATAGAATAGAATAGAATAGAATAGAATAGAATAGAACAGAACAGAATAGAACAGAATAGAATAAAATTCTTTATTGGCCAAGTGTGATTGGCCACACAAGGAATTTTTCTTCGGTGCATAAACTCTCAGTGTACATAAAAAAAATGCATTCAACAAGAAGCATAAGATACAACACAGTGATAGTTATAGGATACTAAATAAGCAATCAAATCATACTAGGAAACTAAATAAAACAATATAAATTGTACAGATACAAGCAACAAGGTTATAGTCATAAGCAGGAGAAGATAGATAATAGGAAGGATGAGAATAATAATAATTCAGGCTTAGTAAATGACTAAGTAAAGTAAATGACAGTAAATGTTTTTTTGTGATTGTGCTGCATGAAAAGTTGGTTTTCGCAACAGGAAACATTCTGGGAATCTGCTATGAATTCACTTTGTTTCCTGTTGGAGGCAAGAATCGTTAAAATAGGGAAGATGCCTTTAATTAGCTCTGGAGAAGAATGATCTAGGGATCCAATTTGAGGTTGGCAGCTCCAGTTGGAGCTGTCCATGGTCCTACTTTAATCCTGAACTCCCCCCCAGGGCTTCTCCAGAGTGGTGACCAAGCAGAGAAGGAGGCTCCCATCTTCACTAGAATTGCAAGAAGGTCCTGGGCAGGGTGGACGACTACGGCCTCTGTATGATGTGTGGAGTTCAACTCCCAGAATTCCTGAGCCAACATGGCTGGCTCAGGAATTCTGGAAGTCCAGAGGGCGTAAAGGGGCCAGTCTGAAACCCAGTCTCTCCATTAGCCCCTGGTGGTTATGGTCTCCACCCTACGTTCCAATTGGCTGAAATGAAGGCATGAAGTTTGCCAATCTGAGTTGGACTTTCAGGGATGGCTTCAAGGTGGGATGAAAACACATGACGGGGCATTCAAAACTCTGTTTTGTTTCAACGCCATCATTACGGGCCTCCTTTTTTTTCTGATAACAGCCTGGAGACACTCCTGCATTTTTCCAGGTGGAGACTCCGACTAGTGCAGTGAGCTCAATAGCTAAAACCAGCTTGTCCCAAACTTCCTATCCCTGTTGTATTCTTTTTGACTCATGGCTGGGGTCTTTCTTTTCAACGTTGGGAACTTTTAAGATGGATGGACTTCAACTCTCCTGCTGACCCGGGACTTCTCCTTCCCCTCCCCGATGTTTTCTAGAAGACATTAGTAATTACGTTAATTCTTCTGCTTTTTGAGGGCAACTCAATCCCAAGAATTGGCCTTCTGGTTTCCTGTTCCCTTCTGTTGATCTCCCTGTGAATATATGAGGTTACAAGGCTATAGATATAGTGTAAACCAATAGCCCTTCGGGTTGAAAACAGGTCAAAGTCACTAAGAAGCATGGCTGGATAGAAGCTAGGCCAAGGGCTATCTTGCACCAGGGTTCCTCCGGTGTGGAGGAAAAGAGGAAGTCAGAAAGGAGTGTCCCCAAGAGCAAAATAGTCAAATAAAGACCAATAACAACAAACAGGGAATTTGATTAGGGAAACTTTTGATGCTTTCTGAGCTTGGTTGTTTTCTTTCAGACATTTCACTACCCAACTAGGTAACATCATCTGTGCTAATGAATGTGAGGTTTGCTCCCTGTTTATATACAGTAATGTTCCCTGTCCATGCTGGTGGGATGTGGTTTTCCCCTTGGTAATTGATTAGGATACTGTTTTCTGCTCAATTATTTGTCTGGTGTTAATATCTGCTTATCTGGGCGCCGGTTACTGCAGACAATATATTCTGGCTTTCTCCCCCCCCCCTCCGCTTCTTAGCTGTTTTATTAGCTCTTTTCAATGGCATGTAAATGTGATTTATCTCTATGTGTTGATGGCTGATGGATCTTCTTCTATTGGGAGAATTCAATTAGCAAAAAAACAAAAACAAAAATCAATACTCTACTGAAAAAAGAGATATGCAACATTCTTGCCAGGCCATAAAAGCCAACAGTTTTTAGGGCAAAATGGTTTAGCATGAAATCTATTCATGTTTATTATTATGGTCTGTTCCCATCCGATTTGCTTTGCAAAGGCAGAGAAAGAATTTGAGCTTATCGTTACCACGGCCATCTGTATAAGAATGCTATCCATGCAGATGTTTAAGAGCCTGTCATCTCAATGCGGAAGTCTTTAACGAGAGAAACTTAAATCTTTAAAACAAGAGGCCGGACTTTTGTAGCCACATCTGTGAAATGTGCAAATTTTACAGCCTACTCTGCCTCCCACTCTCAAAGATTTTACAGGCTACGGAAAATACCAACAAAAATAAGGCTGAACTCGCCCTGCCATTACCTTTAATTCCGGCATGTTTTCTACCAGCTGCAGAGGGAGTTTAACATCTGGATTCTTGGTGTAATCCATGGGGACCATGTTTGGTGCCAGTTCGTGGTAGCGGCCATGCAACCTGTGGGGAAACAGACGCAGGTAAGGACCAAGAAGATGGTACTTAGGGAAGGTTTGGTTCCCAGCTTCAAGGAGAGGCTGATCGTTTTGCTCCTTCTGGCCACCAAAACTTTTGAGAACCGATGTGATTTCCCTCCAGGTTAACGAAGCTAAGTCTTGGATTCTTAATTTCAAATGGGAGAAGAACTTTTCTTGGAAACCAGGAAAATGAACACCAGTGGTACTGTCATGCCCCTGTCAGAGTCTGAATCCGAGGAGGAAGCTGGACAGCTGGCAGGGAATGGGAGTGTAGCTCCGTTGGCTGTGGAGAAGGCTGGGGAAGGGCAAAGTCCGGGTGGGCAGAGCAGGAGAGAGGTAGAACAAGGGAGGAGTTCAAAGGAAGACCCAGGCCCACCCTCTCTTCATCCTAGGGCACGCAGGGAGGAACAGAGAATGGAGTAACGTGAGTTGCATGGCTTACGGGGGAGGAAAGGGCCCTGATTCCCTTCATTAGCCACAGCTGGGAAGAGCTGATAAGAAAGGCAGGCTGCGTGCAGCAGGCTGTTGGGAGCAAACGTGACTTTATCTCATGTTGTTGTGGCTTATCTGTGTTCCTGGCATCTTCCCAACCATGTGAGTTTTGCCGTACCTTCAAGTCTGAAATTCTTGCTCCTGCCCTGCCAAACTAATTACTTCAGTTTGGCTTGTTTGGACTTTAAGTTACAGTTTGTGTTGACCCTGTTTTGGACTTAATTTCCTGCAGCCAAAGGCTGTTCCTGGGAGAGTTTTTCTCCAGCCAGAAGCTAACCAGGACATTGGGGGAAAAGTTGGGAGATAATAAAGGGACTCTTATTGATTATCTGACTGTGTTGCCTTTGTGCCACGCCCCTTTGGGTCATCACAGGTACAGAAGTCACAACTCTGCCACCCCTACCCGATATGTGGGACCCTCTGTAGCTTGAGAGGCCAGAGAAAAAAGATGGCCCTACATTTGAGGGGAATTGATGACGATGAGACTTGAAGTCCAAGAAAAAAAGGAGAACGTCAGGTTGGAGACGGATCAACTCTCCTGGTGTTGATGATTCCAAAGCTGGTCCAGGTTCAAGTTTTGACCAGGAGACATCATAAAAAAGTTGCTTTGATATGAAAAACCTGGGGAAGCATCCGCCTGCATTTCCCATCCCGCCTTCCGCTGACACATTTTGTTCTTTTTAAAAGTAACCCTCTTTGAAAGAACTCCGAGTCCTGCAGCCTTGGCTGGGCCAGAATAAATTATGGCCCTCCTCTCTGGTTTTACCTTTCAGGTACACTGCACACAGCAGGGACATCTCTGCTACGGTGAGGGAAGAGAGAGAGAGAGAAAAAAAAACCCTCAGATTCCTAAAAAGAGGGCCTCCTCTGGACAACATGTGAGCAGAGTGTTCGTCCCACGAATTCAAATCAACACTAATGGATTACTGGCTTTGAGGTGAGGCGATGGGTTTGGAACAGGATAACGATCTTCTCAACAGAAATACAAAGAGTAGCTTCAGTTCCTTAAGGCTGGAGATTGTAGTTTTCTACCAAGTCAGAACACACACACACACACACACACACACACACAAACGACTTTAACAGATGATCAGAGTTGGAAGGGACCTTGTAGGTCATCTAGTCCAACTCCCTGCCCAAGCAGGAGACCCTACACCATTTCTGACAAATGGCAGTCCAATCTTTTCTGACAAGTCCAGGGATGAAGCTCCCACAACTTCCGAGGGCAACTTCTGTTCCATGGGTTGATTATTCTCACTGTCAGAAAGTTTCTCCTTATTTCCAGGTTGAATCTCTCCTTGATCAGTTCCCATCCATTATTCCTTGTTTAGTCTTTGGGTGCTTTGGAAAATAGCTTGACCCCTTCCTCCTCTCTGGGGAAGCCCCTCAAATACTGGAAGACAGGTTCTCCTATCTCCCCTGGTCCTTCTCTTTACTAGACTAGCCAAGTTCCTGCAACCGTTCGTTGTATGTTTTAGCCTCCAGTCCCCTAATCATCCTGGTTGCTCTTCTCTGCCCTCTTTCTAGAGTTTCAACATCTTTTTTACAGTGTGGGGACCAAAACTGGATGCAGGACTCTAGGTGAGGTCTTAGCTCTAGGAAGCAGGATAATTTTTGCAGCTGGATTGCAATAAGTCACAGTCTCACATGGAATTTACCAGAGGCATAAATATGGGAGAATGTATGGCAGGTTGAGAGATTAGGCGGTTTCTTGGTACTTGTTGCAGATATCGTTCCTTTTCCTCCTCTGTATGAAATCTGCACTTTAATGCAGACAGATTAGGGTTCGGAATGGGCAGATCTCATAAAAATAACCGTGACTGTTTTGGGAAATTGGAAGGAGGAGGAGGAGGAGGAGGGGGAGGGGGACGGGGAGGAGGAG